AAGATAGTGATTTATAGGGAAAGTTCCTGATTAATACTCAAACTTTCAAAACATGCCAATTCAGTACTTATCATTAATCAACCATTAAGTGGCATGTGAAAAGACACAAATACCCTTCGGATGTCATCGAATTTTCTTTATCAATCGTCTATTCAAATTAGAACCAACTGTTAATTTTTTCGTCCTTTTTAATTTTCTTTATCAACTTCCTGGTACTTGATTCGAACTTCATCTGTGAATTCATCATGTAGCAGGACCTCTATCTTCCTCGATTTGAGGCAAACAACACCGATGAATTCATGTCGATGCAGGGATTGGTGATGCATTTTAATGCTGATTTCAGATCTCCACTATGTGAGGCTTCCACGAGATGTTGAGACACCTCTGTTTAACAATCAATCGGAAAAACCTGTTTTCCCACAAGAAAATTTCTGCCGGAGTGACCGAAGACCATTTTATGGGATGGACCGGCAGGTATTCCAACTGTTTTGTCTGGAACTTGAGGCACCAGAAGTCATGAGAGACTAAATCATGTTTCCATCCATGTTATAACTTAGGAGCCCATTTAGAAGTGCAGGCTGAAGTTTCAACTTAATTGCTTTAAAGAGGCTGAAGCAGACGATTATTCAAATGACTCGGAGAGCCAAGAAGCCGTTGTTCTTCAGCCTTTCCAAACGGGCACTTAAAGTCACAAAACACTTCCACCATTACCACTATTATGGTATATTATGTCACCATCACCATCATCATCATATAACTAAATGCTTATTAAAATATGAAAAAAAGAAAAAAACTCTAAAAGTCGTGTATGAGTGAGTGATTTTGAAGATATGTGATGAGGAGGGTGATCAATCAGAGGAGGGTTCCCACTGAGGTCTCATTCACATTGTTTTTGGCCTTTTCTTTTGAAGAGGAGGGTGACCGATTAGAGGAGATTTCGGTTGATGTGTTGTCGTATTGTTCTGCAAAGAGGTAGAGTTAGAGTGCCTGGGTTTCTTTACCCGGCATGGGCACTCCGATGCTTAAGTCAGCGAAATGGAGATTTTTTAGAGAGTTAAAAGTGAGAGAGCTAGAGAGTTGTGAGAACTAAATTGTGCATACCTTCTCTCAGGAGAATAGTGCCTTTATATAGGTGTGAGAGATTAGAGACCTCCTGTAATGGGTCCTAGATTCCCGAAGAGCAGTTTCTGCTAAGTTGGGAKAGAATATCTCTGTCGGTTACATTATTTGCGCAGAGAGCTGATGTCCATCCAATCGACTCTGATGCGGGTGATGCAGGTATGTTGGCCTAACGGTCGAGCGTTATTACTCTGGAGAACTTGGTCTTGATAATAGATCTATGTAATAGGTCAGCGAGCATGTCTTGTATGTCATCACTTATACCCTACTTAGCTTGGCTGATCTTCAAAGGAGGTTGCTCCTTAAGCGGAGGTCCTTTAGGTCGGCYAGGCCGAGGTACTTTAGGTCGGCCATAGGCGAGATGCCATGTGTTACGTTGTTTTAGAGGTAGGCCGCCAGGTCGACGGAGGTTGGTCGCCATGTCTCCAGTAGGTGTCTGGAGGTAGGTCGCCAGGTCTTCGGAGGTAGGTCGCCAGGTCTTCGGAGATAGGTCGCCAAGTCAGTGGAGGTTGGTCGCTAGGTCTCCAGTAGGTCTCCGGAGGTAGGTCGCTAGGTCGACAAAGGTAGGTTGCCAGGTTGGTGGAGGTAGGTCGCTAGGTCGGTGGAGGTAGGTCACTAGCTGGGACTCCATCATTTTGGCTAAGGAAAGTCATCTTCTAAGTGGTGTCGGGGTGTCATCCAGCTGTTCTGAGATGCCACGTGTCATGATGTTAGTGGAGGGCCAAATATGCCCTAATCAATTGCCCCCACTCCTGAGCTGAGGTTAGCTCGACGAAGGGAGTAGCTTGTTGTAGGTCCTTTGGCTCGGAATGACTAGTTTGATGAGCTCATAAGCATCGGTCTAGGTCGCTAAAGTGGTTATAATTTCAGCTATCAAAATGATGTCGAGCTAGATAGATGGGGCCCAACCTACATAGGTCGGCCTACCTATTGCCAACACATTTTGAGGTCGGCTTAGGGGGCCTTGATGCTGAAAGCGGTTTGGCTTCCCCTTAGAGTGCAATTTGAACAGGTCGCCAAGCGGATGGTATGCATTTGTGGGTCAATGCCGCACATGTACTGAACTTGCTCCTAGAACTACTGGCCGCTTGCTCCTACTAGAGCCATGGGCAGCTCACCTGGAGGGTGTCGCTTTACTGTCTACAGGTCGCCTACTCTCGCAGGAACCATGAAAGGTTCGACCTGTGAGGCTAGCTCCACATTCAGTTAGCTAYCCACTCTCATGGGAGCCATGGAGAGCTTGATCAATAGTGAGGCTTTGCAGTTGGCCTGGGAGATAATCTGGGCTAAACCGCTGAAGCTCGCCCGA